GGAGAAACACGGCAATTAAGCAATGAATTAACCGTTCTATGATGATATATATATACATTTTATATATGTATGTATACATATAAACGTGTGAGTGTGTACAAATATGTATATGTATATGTTTGTATTTGTATATGTGTGATATATATATATATATATATATATATATATATATATATATATATATATATATATATATATATATATATATATATATATATATATATATATATATATATATATATATATATATAAATTGATAGATAGCTAGATATAGATATAGATGTGTAAATATAGATTTCTTTTTTTTAAAAGCCATTCATTCCACTGCAGGGCATAAGCCTCTCGCAATTCGAATTGAGAGGTTATATGGCAGTGTCACCCTTGCCTGATTGGATGCCCTTCCTAATCAACCGCTGTTCGGCGCGCTAACACTTGTGCCACGGCAGTGACCTCCCCTACAACACCTGCGTTTGACTTCTCAAGGTGATATGTTGCGATATGCCTGTCAGCAGTCAGAGTGCAGGCATTTTTACGACCGCCGCGACGGGGAATTAAACTCGGGACCACGAGGGTTGGAGTCCAGTGTTCTAACCACTGGACCATCACGGCAATCAAATATATATGTATACCCAGATATATATACCTATATATCATCATAGAACGGTTAATTCATTGCTGAATTGCCGTGGTCCTCCAAGCATCTCTACTCTGTGAGAGTCTACAATTTTCAACAAAACTCAAACCACTGATCTCTTTGATATTATCACTATAGCGTGTTTTGGGTCTACCTTTTTTATCTTGCCATAGAAACCTGTTAGATCTTTTTCTAACAAATTGCTTCTCAAAATGTGTCCTACAAATGCCATTTTCCGCTTATCTATCATTTTTAGCAATCTTTCTTTTGGCGTCTGTAGCACCAGAGCTTAAAAGCCCGAATTCGTTTGGTGTCAGCAGTTTTTGTGACCCAGCACTCTGACCCATAAGTGCCTATCTAAAAGACTAGGGGTTGCAATTTTTTTTTTTTTTTAGTGTAAATAGAGATGGCTTTGTTTTTCCATATTGATGTAAGGGATATCGCATTTCGTGCAAGAGTCAGCCTTCTTTTAATTTCATTAGAATCATTGTAGCATATTTTTCGTTGCCAGCCTGGTTACCCACTGGGCAACGTGCTCCTTCGTAGTTCACGCGACGAGCGATGTGGCAAGAGTTTTTTTCTTTTCTGTACTTACATCAAGGGATAATCGGGAAGCATAGCAGAGTAGGGTTCCCAGCACACTTTCTCTGCCGCAGGTTTCCTCTATCGGAAGGTGCACCTCTGCCATTTCTTCAGTAGGACTGAGTACTTGCCAGACGTACGTGCTTGTTGAAGCCATCATTTTCAGTTGCACTGAATGAGCCTCCACTGCCCTGTTGCAACAGTTTTGCTTTTACCCCAACTAAGGGTGGAAAATGGGTACTATGCCTTTCCAAAGGGCAACCCAGGGTGCAGTTTAACGTCTTACCCAGGAAAGAGATATATATATGTATACATATACATATGTATATATTATATATATGTATATATATACATAGATATTATATATATGTATATACATATATATTATATATATATGTATATATATACATATATATTATATATATGTATTTATATACATATATACATGTATATATAGGTTATATAGATATGTGTATATGTATGTATATGTATATATAAATATGTATGTGCATATACATACATATGTATATGAATATTTATACATATATATAGATATATACATATATGTGTATATATATGTGCATATATAAATATGTATGTATATATATGTATAGGATATATATATATAAAGGTATGTGTGAGTGTGTGTATGTATACATACATATATATACATACATAAATATATATATATACATATATATATGTATATATGTATGTGTGTATATATATGTGTGTGTGTTTTCTCTTTTCTGTCTAGTTTATACATCGAATACTGTCAAGCTAAAAAGATAATCAAACATCTTAGATTATTTGCAGCATTTTATTTGACTGTAACATCACACGAAGTTTCTCTATATTTATTCACCTTTCCTTTTATTTCTCTCCCCGTTTGACCCGAGTGGTTGCTTTGACCCTCGGCTTTGGCAAATGATTATGTATATCTTATATTTGATGAAGAAAATACACGTCAAATGAAACTGGAGGAAAGACCGCCAAGAAAAGAGAGGAAATCCACAGAAGATAATCCTATTCAATACAGTGGGGATATAATCTCGCACCCTTTTATCTTTTATATATGTTTGTGTGTGTGTTTGTGTGTCTGTGTACATGCATACATACACACACACTCACACACACACACACACACACACACACACACACATACACATACACACACACACACACACACACACACACACACACACACACACACACACACACACACACACATATATATATATATATATATATATATATATATATATATATATATATATTTATATT